TCATAAAACTCCAAACCATAATTTAATTAAATCTGGATGTTATAAAGGATATCCACCCCCTTATTCTGAGTTATATTCTGACCAATGTCCTTAATGCTTTTTACAGTGATAGTTATACTAATGTGGAACTCCTCATTAAGCATGTTATAGGCCTTTGGAGACTAATAACAAATATGGCTCCCATTCCCGCTTATTTAAATTATTTGGTGATTGTATGACTAGGAATTTATTGCATGTTCTCCAGAGAGCAATAAAATGATCTTAGCAATAATTCTGAAGGATGGAAATTTCTTTTCTGTGCTTATCTACGAGGGTGCTGAATGGCATCCATCACCCCAAAAAGACAGTATACTTGTGGACCTAAGGTGCATATTATATTTATAGGTAGGGCTTCACTAAACCCTTAAGAGGTTGTGTAGATATTATAAAAGGTATGCCAGTTGATATCCAGATGCATTCAAATGTAAAAAGAAGGAAAGGTTTAGCATGCCATGGAAAACAAAGAACAGAAAACAAAGGTTTCACTTGCAGGCTAAGGAGTTACACATGAAAGGGTAATACACCTGTAGTAACTCCATGTTTTTGGATCTTTATGGCAGATTTGATGACCTAAGGCAAAACTATTAGCTTTGTACGTAATGTTTTATTCATGTATGGCGCACAGGCTATTGTAGAAAAGTTTTGCTAGTTGCCATGGGTAAAATATGGACCTGATGCCATCTTGTGCCCATACATATACTCCTATAATTCTTTTTTCTCCAAGACCCACAGATGACATTAAGGTTTGGTTTGGATGGCAGGCCGTATAGGCAAGAACTACCTAACATTTAGGCAACAAGAAAAATAATTTTCCACTATTATAGCAGATGCTTCAAAAACCTGTACAATTACCAAGATTCATAAAGCTGGCTATTTTTTATTGCCATGCTTTACAATATAAAATTTGTTGAAAAGATGGAGTTACAGGGCAAGACCATGTCTTGATGAAGATTAATACCCAGATATTACATAACAGTCCTCTCTATGACCCCGGCATCCTGATCTCTTCAGACAATGGAATTGCATAGCACTAGAGGTGACATAGAGATGCCCTAGGAAGCCTTTAGGGTTATAAATCCTGCACTGGGACTCAAATGGCAGACTTCCATGAGTATTTTTACCTCTTATACCCCTTCAGATTTAAGCTTATCCAAAGTGAAAGCTGAAACCCCTGAAGTCTGATACGCCAAACAAACAAGACATACTATGGATTCTCTTTGTGTTCTATATGGAAAGTGGTTCGGCCAGATACTGGAGTTGGTTTTTAATAACTATAATAAAATAGGCCAATAGGAACCAAAGAGGTCTATTAGATGAGGCTGGGAATATGGTTGGTTGCTACAAGCAAAAGCTTTGCTTTTCCATTGGTTGACTCTGGTTTTGATAAATTAGCTTTAGGGCATTAAACTTTTACACTTCTGAAACACGAAGGACCTCATGTGTCAGTGTCTGATGGCAGAACTGTTCTTGCTGCCAACAACAACTGAGCTGCCCCTTTCATTCTCCAATACTGACTGACATGGGTGACAGAACGAGTTCTTCCTCCAATTCTTCCAATCACATGGCCCTGAGAAGGAGTGAAGGAGAAACACACAGCAAAAGTTGTACAGTCACACACCACAAGAGTCAGAACATTTTGCTAGAGTGAGAGGGAGTGGAGCTCAACTTTGAAACTGCCTTGAAGAACACTAGCTCAACTTTAGGTCTCTAGTGCAAAGTGGGCAAATGAAAATAAAAAATCTCTTTGGTTGTCAAACACTTTTGGTTGTGACACCAACAGAGAGAGAAAAAGAGAGACTACAGTAGAAGGTTTTCTAGACTGCATTCTGTTACATCAATTGCCACGTGAAGGGACTCAAACTGGTACCCAATAGAGAGATTACCAAACCCTATTCCAAACATACACATCAGTGTACACTGATGTGTGGAATCAGCACAAAATGCTAGAGAAATTTAAAGGGGCTCTGTCATGAATGCCTTTACTTGCCTGTAAAGCAGCTTCAACACTACTGTGGCAGCACTGACCAGTCTCTGACTCAGAGGGGTATTCTATCCTTCAATATTTATTCAGCTGCAATGCCATAGGCCTAACATGTGGCAGGAGAGAAGACACTGCTATGTGCTTTTTTACCACCTAGATATACAGTATATACACCTCTATAAATGGGTAACCATGACACAAACTCTAAGGCAGTACACAAAATTACTATTTTCTGTTTCCTGTTTTCCCTATAGAGGCAGAAGGAACTGCAAGAGACTGCATCAAATCAGGAGGAACAGCAGCAAACTGACAAGCCTTCCAAAAGTTGGTGCCAGTGGTAGAGGTATAAAAACACAAGGAAGTAGCTGTCCAGCCTAGACGAAAACAGTCATCTAATTTCAAAGGCGAACTATAAAAACCATAGCAATGACAGCCAATCAAATGCCTAAAACAATGATCAGCCATCCATCAAGGGACGGACCTGACCACACCAGGAGCGCCAGTTGAAAAGGGGGGTTCCAGAGTACCCCATGATGCCCCCAAATTGCTTATGAAACTTCTAACTTTCTGAGAGCAGGAAGATAGGCAAGCCCACACCCCCACACCTTTCTTATGGCAATGCATGTCAATAGATTACTCAGGGACAGCGTCAGGGTACTGCATCATGAGTTACCAGTTGGGATTATGTCAGTGCTCTCAGTACCAGGAAGGTGCAATAATCCTAAGGCTATTGGGGTTCTGGGGCCCAGTTTTGTACTGGCCAGCATCAGTTGGTTTCTTCTTCAAATTGAACTTCAGAATTAAATACATGTTTACTTTAATTGTGTTTTCTGTGGATTATTAAGCAGCTGACAAATGTGAACCACAGTGACAAAAAACATAAACTTTCAGTGGCTTCCCTGTATGTAACCATCTATCTCTCTCTCATTTCTTAGATACCCAGAGGCAGTGAAGACATTAAACAGGCTAATTCAGTTCAAGGCAATACAAGAAAATTATATTCAAGTGCAACAATGCACAACAACCAATCAGAAATCATCTTTTCGTTAACATGACCACATTATCCTGAAATCTGATTGGCTGTTATGGGTTACTACGCTATTCACACGATCATTGTTATTTTTATTAGTTTTGCACTGTTTCACCAAAAACAATCCAGTATGTAGCAAGATATCTTTAAGAGAACCATATAAGCTGAAGGGGCAGCAGGCTTATTCAACGGAGCTGTACAGAGAGCAATAATAGCGTGCAAAGCTGGTAACTCCCCACAATCTGATTTCACTTTGCTTGCTCTGTGCCTCACTAAGGGCTGTGTCAACAGGCTTTTGTTCACAGCAGACAGGTTTTGAATCACCGTACAAGTCTATGGGAATGCAAGACCTGATAAAGCAGGTGAGATGCAGGTCAGAAGAAGGTCAACTGCACCGTCAATGAATTCCGAATGATATCAGAAACATCTCCATCTGATGTTAAATTACTGCCATCAACACAATCCCAAAGTCTGCTTGTGTTTTTATGTAAACTACAATTAAGCACCAGGAAAACCGGAAAATACCAAAAGTGCTGGATCTATGGGTTTCTACAGATGCCCCACCCCCATCCATATAGCATTAAAGCAATATATCTGACACCCTGTAACTCCCCAATGCAGAGCTCCACACCTCACCTGGCAGACATTTTATCCAAACTTTCTACAGCAGGACAAAACCCCTTAAGGGACAGCATGTCTAAAATTGATTGTTCAGTTATAGCTATACACTGGTAGGTTGTATCACTTACTGCTGCTTACACTATTTGGTCAAATGTTTGTGGAAACCCCACCAAGTTCCTTATTTCAGGTGTTTCCAGTGAAGGGCACTGCTCATCCTATATGAATAAAACACATTTTAGACAATTGCACTTTCAACTTTTTGCCAACAGTTTGGTGAAGGCCCTTATCTGTTCCAGCATGATTGTGCCCCTGTGCACAAAGCTAGTTCCATAATACGATGAGTTTAATGTGGAGGAACTTTTGTGAAAAGTCTTGTAATCCAACATCACAACATCAGTACCTGACCTCACAAATGTTTTTTTTTGGCTGAATGGGCAAAAAACACCCACAGATACACTCCAAGATCGTATGTAGAATCTTCCTTGCAGAGTGGAGGCTGGTATAGTGTGTGTGTGTGTGTGATTTGGGGGGGGGGTTAACTCCATATTAATATTAAATGGGATGCCCAACAAGCTCCTATAGGCATGATGGTCAGGTGCCCACAAACCTTTGATCATACAGTGCATATCTCACATCAACTCCAGCAGCAAGTTCAGTAAGAATTCACCCATCCACAGAATAGCTGCATCAGGTGGGTGGAGTTGGCAACTCAAATGGAAATATCCTCCTCCAGACTCAGTAAGGGGTATAAAGAAGCCAGCAAGTGACTAAAACTGCTGACTACAATATCTATTTTGAGTAGACCAAACCTTTATTTAATTAAGACAAGAACCCTAAGATAAGCTAGGCATCGGACACATGTCCCTATATGTATGAGTACCTGCCATTGGCTCAGCTGGGTCACTTCAGATTTACCACTAAATAAATATACAGTCAGGCACTATAGAGGCAGAAGAGCCAAGGCTTAACCTGCTGACTCATAGTCATCTCAGTGTCTGCTCTGATCTCACATAAAATCCTAAAAGAATCACAGTTTGTAAAAGTGCTGAACAGTACATAAATTACACATCACCATCTCATTTTGCTCTCGGCAGTGATGAGGGCAAAAGGGAACTTTGAAGAATAGTTTTGGTCCAGACCCTTCCAAAAAATTTTGGTTTTATTGTGCCCCTGGTCCACAAGTTTATTTTTCCCCACCCTTGGTGCCAGAAGATTTTCCCCATGCAGGTTTCTTATTAAAAAAAAAAAAAAAAAAAGATGCCAAGAGCAGCTAGTGGTGAAAAAAAGTTCAAAAGTAGGGATCAACTGCACCCCCTTGTGGGGCTTTGTCTAACACTCATCTATATTAAGGCAGATGAATTCCTGGATGCACTTCCTGTACTGCTGCTCAGTAGGACTGTTGCTGGGATATTGACCTGGTTGTCCGAATGGTCCTTCTGCTTCTCTCATCTCCTCGTTCATCCGAGCAAGTCGCAGCCTGTGGGAATAGAGGTTCTGATGAGCTTGTGTTGTGAAAAATGAAGACAATTAATAAAACACAATTCATATCTTGCCTCAAAGTGTGTAAGGATACCACTAGTGGTACTCATAAAAGGAACAACAATATAGTATAAGTGGATACTTCTAGTTCAGGAGTCAGGGACCATATGATGGTGATTTTTCTATAGTACCTTTCACATTTATAAACTTATCTAGATATCTAATTAACAAGTATAAATATACTCAATGCTAATGAAAAGATCTGATACTTGAATGCTTTATTTCAAATGTACAAAGGATGAAGGGACATGTAATGGCAGTAGAGGAAGGTTTTTTTTCTAGATTCAGTACTGTTTGACATTTGCTAAAAAGCCTGCTAAGATTGCTAAAAGTTCCATTAGGATATGTATTCAACACTACTTCAAAAAGCTGCTTGAAGCTTGCTGGATGCTTTGTAAATGCTAGAAAGTGATATTAAACCCCTAATTGATATGCCTCCTCTTAAGCTGGGTACACACGGGCCAAAAATCATCCGAAAACAGTCAGTTTGCCAGGAACCGGACGACTTTCGGCCCGTGTGTACAGCTTCCCATCCTACAAAAGCCTGTCTAACAAACAGCTTCTGTCGAATGGGCATACTGGAATACCAGCATCCAGACGACTTCAGATCAGCACTGCCAGCCAATGGTGGTGAGCACCGTTCAGTGTGTCCTGTTGTGGGGCAGCCCCCCTTTCAGAACACAATAGCTCAGTGGGAAGACTGCCACACTAACAGAACGTGTTAGAACGATCTGTAAGTTTATTTTCATTCAGCCCGCTGGGTTGAACAAAAAAAAAAAAAAAACTTTCTGCATGTACCCAGCTTTACTTTTTTTTGTGATGGCTTTCTTGTTTCCTCCTGTGACATCGCTTCCCCTCTCTCTCTGTAGAGGGTGTCACCATAACCTCACAGGTTCTGAAGGAGAAACCTGTGTGTGTGTGCTCCCATTTGGAGACATGAGACTATGTGGGTCCATAGAACACACACAAAGCCCAGAAGACCCATCCCTGATCCCTCCTTCCAGCAATTTACTGACAACAGCAAGGGTCTATCACTCCGCTTCCCTTGGTAACCTCCTCTCCATCCCCTAAACTCAGCGACATGGCACAGATTGTACTGGGAATGGTGGCAGTGACTAGGTAAGTGTTTGGGAACAGGTGGGACACAGAAAGATACTGAAGCATATTTACCTTAATGACAAAAATGATGAATTAAGGTAAAAAATAACGCCCAGCATTTAGAACCACTTTAATTGAAGACTTACAGTAGTGATCATGAGCTATGAATGATCAACTCTCAATCAGGGTCTATAAGGCCTTTTCTGTCTGTGTATTAGCTGAACATAATGATCATAAAAGACGAAAATTAAAATGAAAACTCACAGAGTGACAATATCCGCATTAGCTGCCTGCACAGATATACTGAGTGGATCTTGTCCATCTTCATCCACAGCATGTTGATTGGCTCCTCGTTTTAAGAACAAACACACCTGGCTGAATAGGAAGCAGACACAAGGCATTAGCTCTGAGCAGACACATTAACTTGTTGTACAGCTACTGATTCTACAAGACTGCAACAAGCTCATAGGAGGATATAAACTTAACAAGCAGGCATATAAATGTGGAAGAATTTAAACAATCAGGAGCTGTATGTGGATACCATTTTTCCCTCAGTATATCACACAACTAGGAAAGTCTGAATTACTTTAAAAAAAAAAAAAAATTCAGATAGTTTACCTATTAGTATATCCTACAGTTTTAGAGATGGAAGCAAAATTGTTAACATGCTATCTTTACAGATCTAATTATTTGAGACCTGTATTCTGGCTCCATTGCCCAGTACCTACCCAGTATGCCCCAGATATGTAGCGTGATGTATAGGTGCTCGCCCTCTAACATCTGTTTGGTTCACATCTGCACCATTCTGCAGCACAAACTCGCAGGCTATCAACGACCCCTGTGGAAATACAATGAATATATTTAATATAGTAGTAAGATCAAAGACATCAGGATACAGCACAGTACCACAAATAACGGTTATCTAGGCATCTTTTAAGAAAACATGGAGGATGCCATTACTGACTCCTTCTGAAAATACTAATTATATGGCTGTCATACTCACTTCCATCTATACTCAGTGACCCGGAACAAGTATACAAAGAAGGACTCCTGACTTTTCTACAGTTTCTTGATCTGCGTACTTGTTCTCAAACAGTGACTTAAAAGTGGTCATATACTCAGTAAAGTGACTAGTCTCAGGTGATGCACAGATTCAACAAATCCTCCAGCAAAAGTTGTACCTGATTATCTGTAGCCACCTCTACTCAACATTCATTTAAATTCCAAAATTTACACAGCTTTTCTCAACTCCAGCAGGCAGGGGGTTGGGATCTTACATCACACACTGCACAGCACAAAGAGGAGGGCTTAGTGTACTCTGAGATCTGAGAAGGGACACACCCCCTCTAAAAACCCTCATAGGAGGAACATACAGAGCTGAGGCTGCCAATCATCAACCGTGAGCTAGGGCTCCCCTTCCCCCATCCCCCTGGAACCCTTGGTGTCTGCACAGTCTTTCAGAAATTACACGAGTAGATATCAGAGGAGCCAGACTGCAGAGAGAAATTACACTCAGTTCTTTGGATTGAGGCAATTACTTACTATAGAAGGATATACTTTGTTCATTTTTCATGTCAGATACAACTACTTTAAAATGTTAATTAACACTAGAGAGTCAGTATAACAGTATGACAAATAGCATTTATGAGTTGAAGGAGGTCAGCAACGGCTGCCCACCATTTTTCTCTTTTTAGAGATTTACTTCAAAGGTTTACTATATGAATAACACAGAAAGAAAAATAATATTTTAATAACAATTATAGTTATATATGCAGATGTATATACAGTATACAGCTCTTTTCCAGTCTGCTTCTTAGAACAATAGTACCCATCACAACCGACCACCCACACACCCTAGCTGTATTGTACTTCTATAGCATCCTGCAGTTCTGTTCCTCCAGCTGTCAAACCTGTTTAGGCTCTGTGGAGGATGCGGTCACAGTTTATACAAGGCTTATGATGACATCCTCGTGTGACAGTGTTTGGGCCAAACTGTTCAGATCCAAGCACTGCATGCTCCCCCACACCTGGAAACAGTGGGTACTTGTGACAGCTCCAACAGAGAGGCAAAGGAGCACAGTGAAGATTTAAGGTATAGATTATGGGTGAGTCAAAGGTGTGCAACTAAGACTGTCACTTTGCCCTGAATAGGCAACATGACACATTTTCTTTAAAAAGGTCAAGAGTGGGATTTATACATTGTAGGGAGGATAATAAATTATATTATGGAATAGCACAAAAATATAACGGTTCATATAGGTAATCTTTCATATAGATCAAATCCTAGGCATGAAGCCTGTATCTCAGGACCACTAACTGGGGTCTCACATCACAATCTGTGTGCCCTCTGATTGTTAGAAATCATATTGCTTTCATGGGGCTCTATGAGACTCTGTCCCACAGTTGTATCAAACTGACCTTTTCATTCCATATCAATAACACTTGGGAACATGATGTGAAAAAAGGAGTAACACTTGATTTGACATCTTTCTAAGGCCCCATGCATATGAGGACGTCCAAGAGCAGAGCATCCCTTCTGTTGTTTTAGTGCACCAGGGAGAGAAAAGTGAAGTGTCCAGCCCTGCTGCAGGCAGCCTGTCAAAGTTTGCGGCAGGCCGCAGCTGGATGGGAATGTTGTACTGAGTGGTACCCACATTTAGAGCCTGAGACGAAGGTCCGGAATGCAGGTCTTCTGGACTGCTAACAAAAAGCAATTTGTATGCTCGCTGTAGTTTTTACATTACTGGTAAAATTGCCCTAAAGGTGGAGGCTAGAGATCTAAAAGACTCTCTAATAATTATACTATAGAACCCAATGACATGTAGTAATGTCTTTGCACTGGATATATGCCATTGTTGCTTACTCCTATCACAGCCTGGATTAAAGGCGTCTTGCTTTCGTCCTCATCATTCACCCAATTGACATTAGCCCCGTTGGCAAGTGCTTCAGCCATGACAGGCAGGTTCCTGGCCCGCGATGCCTTGTACATCAACAAGCCAGGGTGCAATTCCCTCAGGTCTTCAGGGTCTGACGGGTCTTGTTCAGTCTCTCCTTCTCCGCTAGACTCTTCTGAGACCTCACACTCTGAATTTACAAAGAAAGAAAAGTTGTCACTCATGAAATATACTGGACTTAAGAAAATACAGACCGTAGCTCATGTCGCCAGACAACCAAACTCTACTCTGCCTTATATGTTCAAAAGAAAAACTGACTCCACAGCACCTAGAATCTCCCTTTCCTTCTTCCACTCAAGCTCATAAAATAAAATTATTAATATAAAGAATTTATATAGAGCCAGTGTGCACAGAGCTTTACAAAATAAAGGAGACAGTACAGTTACAATACCATACAAGAGGGTTAGCAGACCATACTCGTGTGAGCTTACAAACTAAAAGGTAGAGGCTCGGGATGCAAAATGTAATAATTGTGTGGGGATGAGTTGATGAAGAAAGTAAAAGTTAAATTTTTTTTGGATAGACATGGGATAGGCTTCCCTGGAGAGATGGGATTTCAGGGATCGCCTAAAGGTGGACAGAGTAAGAGATATCTGGACAGATTGGGGCATAGAATTGCAGAGGATGGGAAAGGCTCAGGAGACGTCTTGGAGGAGAGCATGGGAGCAGGTGATTAGGGAGCTAGAGAGCAGGTCTTTGGTGGAGTAAGGGGATGGTTCAGGTGATATTTGAAATGTGATTGGTGACATAGCTCAGGGCAGAGTTGTGGACGTTTGTATGCTGTTGTTAGGATTTAAAATTAATTGGGCAAAATGCATGAAATAATATGATAGGCCTGTGAGGGCAATTTTTTTGGACACTAAATAAAGAAGACTACCAATACCATGTGGCTTCAAATTACCCCATCATATAGAAAGCACAGAGCCAGATCATGCCCATACCAAATGGAAGAAGGAATGGCACATCTTCTACTGATCTAAATTGATTGTGGTGGAGCTAGATTTTGCACCTTGAATTATACTGCAGCATATGTGGGTTAGTGCTTGTAAAGGAGACAGGGCTTCAGATGCTTCAAGAATGGTGACATTATTGTTTTGGCTTCAATGATGCTGCCCAGATGGCAAAGACAATATATGGCATTTATATGTTTTTTGCTTTTCTATTGACATATTTGCTTTCCTCTACATCTCCTTGGATAACAACCATCACTGTGTCTATCCAGCTGTAGAATTACATCAGGAAACTATTTAAACTTGATTTACTAAAGGTGAATAGGCTTTTCACTTTGCAAAGGAGATTTGCCCCAGAGTTTACTGAATGTGGTGAAGTTTCACATTGCCAAGATTATTCAATCACATGCAAGGAAAATAAAACAAAAAAAAAAATGCACTTTTGCTTGCACATGATTGAATGATGGAAGTCAACAGAGCTTCTTCTCATTCACTAAGCTCTGGAGCAAATTCCCTTCCAAAGTGAAAAGCCTATTTGACCTTTAGTAAGTCAACCCCATAATGTTACAACTATGAAAGTCATATAGAGATAGGAAGTTCTTTGTGTCCAAATGCATCCAAGTTTTAGATGTGATGGTTGCATTAGTTTCCTTTTTTAGGCTTTCTTTCTTTTATTTTCACCTAGTGATCTGGCCAGTAAGACTTGTTTTGCAGCTAGAGCTTTGAGACAAACCATTTAACACTGACAGGGATACTTTCAATGATCAGCTTTTATTTATTTATATAAAACCTTTATCTCGAAAGAAATAAAACTGCTTGCTGTAACTGATTAAAAAGTGTGAGCTGGAGTTTGGCTTTAATTTGTTAGTGTATCTAAATCTGCTGATACATCTAACACTCCAGTCACCCCACATTTTTGATTTTGGGTTTATTACAGCTTTAAATTTCTACAAGTCATGACTGATTGTAAAGGATCTGCACTGGATATTTTCTGGTTCACTGAAGCTTACACAATCATGAACTTTGCCTTTTGTATTCATTCTTTCTAACAATGTGATATATTGAACTACATTTTAACATGTGCCAATATGGCATCCAAGGGCAGAGTTTCATCCAAGGGCAATTTTCAAAAAACTACCCAAGAACAGTTGGTGGTAGTTTTAAAAAAACTTATTGCTTTAATTTCTTTTCTTGATAAAAATGATGCAAACAGAGGTGAAGATACTTTCAAAGGAATAGTAACTGTAGTGTAAATACTCACCTTCCTCTGTGACACTGTCCACTACCGAGCCAAACACCAAGACGTCATTGCTTCCATCTGTGCTTCCTCCAAGGCCGCTGTCACTGCTCAGACCTGCGGGGCCAACAAGAAAAATACCAAACCCATGTTAAAATAAAGTAGACTACAAAAATATCATTTGAACTTAGAAGGTACTACAATGAAAAAACATGTTACACTTAAAATGGTAACTGCACCTTAGCATCAAAAATCAGATCTCACCCTCTGTATCCTCCTTATTAAAACAGCCAACAGAATATCAGAGCTCAGATTCAGATGTCCTACTATTCTAATGGCTATGGCCTGCCTAGCTTTAGATCCACTGATTCTATCACAACTGGACCTTTGCAAACATCTAAAGATAAGTTAATGTATGACAGATTTATATATGCTACCTTATTTAGCATGGTTTCATTGTTTACTGTGACACTTTAGCTTGTGTCAGAGGACACCTGTATCTCTGAAATATTTGCAACACATCCACATCTTCCCGTGTTTTGACTCAAAAGTGCTGCAAGTGTACAAATATACCTGTTGATTTGTCAGTCCAATAAGTCCTTAATTCCCTGTAATGAGCCAACAACTCTACCTCTGCTGCATTAAATCCCAAGCAGTATTTTCAGGAGCTGCCCAGTTCTCTTCTTCAGGGCTACAGAACACCTCCCCCTCACCTCATCTCCATAACATGCCTGTCACCTAGCTGCTTACTATTATATCTCAATGGCTATGCTAAGTCTGCAATACTGTGCTATTTTGTGTAATGTTTAAAAACATTTATGTTTTTAATATATACAGGAAATCCAATCGGAAATATTAGATATTTAGCACAAAAATGTGATATATAGTACTCATTTGCTTAGTTGTGTCCACAGCTATTGTATAACCATAAATTAAATAACAATTCTGCATATGCCACATATGCACAAGTTTTGTATTCTGTGAACAGATCTTTGTCAATAGTGCTATTATATGCGTGTTGTAGAGATTAAAGCATTTGTATAGGCAGTTTTACTAAAATAATAAACATGTTATACTTACCTGCTTTGTGCAAGGATATTGCACAGAGCTGCCCCAAATCTCTTCTTCTGGGGTTCATCCTATTGTGGACTGTCGATCCAGGCTGTGTGCATCCATAGACACACACAGTGTGGCTTGCCCCAGCCCCCCACTTATACGATATGACTGACAGCAGCAACCAAACCAAAGGCTCCCACTGCTCTCAGCCAAGACTGTGAGAGAGGGGAGAGAAGACCTGCAGTGCTGGATTGATAAAGGACTCAAGTAAGTGTTTTGTTGTTTTTTGTTTTGGGGGGGGGGGGGGGCAGCTACTGGAATGCATTGATGTAAAAACAGTTTGGTTTTAGAACCACTTTAAGTCGTATAAATCATTCAGCTGCCACAGTTACAAACTATACATTGCTCCAGATTCATATTAGGTTATATGTTGTTACTTGGCTACAAAGACAAAGATAATCCATAATAATATCATTAAGGCTGAACACCAGGCAAACAGCTGTCTCTGTCCATCCAGTTTTGAGATTTAAAAAGCTCTGTCATACAGCACATCCCTGTCTGGCAAGGGACCTAATTTTCCTCTGATGAAGTCACAGCAACACTGACAGCTCTTGTCCCTCCCCTAGCATGTGACTGGGTAATAAAAAGGAAATCAGAGGAATGATGAGCTTGTTACCTCCATCACTCTGCTCTCTCCTACCATCAGATTATTTGTTGTTAGCACATGAGTATCACAGCACAACTGATTGGCTCACAGTAATACTTTTCCCTCTCCCAGCCTGATCTCTGCTGTAGAGGGGATTGCAAATAGCTGATAACAGGTCAAAATTAGGCACTTACACTGCTTGCATATGTAATAATACACTTATTGATGCATTTAATAATAATTGCAAAGTTTCACTCATTAGTGTTGTTATGTGTCTAGAACAAAGCACAAAACCACATACACAACATATTTATGAAGGTGCCTGTTATGTTCCAATTTAAAACGATAAATGTCTGTCAGTGATAATCAAAGTAGATTATTTTAGAAATGACATACAGTTAATTGTCAGTTATTGAATTGAAAATTATCATGGATCACAACAAATGAGAATTAATCAAATAATTAAAGCGGAACTTTACCCACAACAACTTGATATCAGATGGCATTTTTCAGCAAGGAACATACATTCTACATTGATAGTTATACTACAGAAATTAGTGTGTGCTTTAATTTGCCTCCAGCATTGTTCCCGCTCAAGCACAAAATGGCCAACATTCCCTGCATTTGGCCATGATGGAAACCTTTATATTTGAATTCTGATGCATTAACAGTATCTATTTTTGTAGGAATGTAAATGAGTGACTTTCTCTTGTCGCCGACCTTACCTCCATCCGGGAGGAACGGCATAGCGCTCCCACCGGGGCTCAGCGCCACTGCCAGTCCACGGTGCAGCTGGCAGGGGGTGCTGCGCTGGAAGCTGGTTGGCACCTAAGAGGAAGGTGATGGCATAGTCAATGAAATAGTAAGGTCTTACATCTACTAGCAATATCATGATGATGGAACTACACATGCAATTGCTAATGAGGTGAAATCTTTGGGCTCAGGGGATTCTGAACACACAACAACAAACAGAATCAGTTTTAAATAACACTTATGATCAAACTATTGTGCTTAAAATTTGAAAAAAAAAAAATATTAGTATGGTGTTGAGCTTTTCATCTTTTATAAGGGGCTCATATTTTTAGCTTTAGAATGCATACAGTAGTGACTGGTAAAAAGTAACAACCAAAACAAAAAAAAAAAACAGCAGTAAACCAGCTCAACACTAGTAAGCTATGCTGAATTAACATTTATGGGTTTTGTTCTTAAACCCACACTGACAGAACCTAGGGGTTAAGAATTTTTTTTAACAAACAGGAGGAATTACCTGAATATTTACTGTT